ACAAGGGGTTGCTCATGGACTCCAGACTGATAGCTGGGAAACCAGCATAAGAATGATCCAGACTCCCTGAATAAGGAGATCAGTTTAGACATCTGGACAATCTATAGGGCCACTGGATCAGTATTTACACCTAGTACACAAATAGACTTTGGGAGCCCACTCCACATAGAGGGATACTCTGTCAGCATAGACACACTGGGGAGGTTCTAGGCTCTGCTCCAAATGATATGACAGACTTTGAAGATCGCCCATGGAAGGCCTCATTCTCCCTGGGGAGCAGAAGGTATTGGGATAGGCGGCCTATGGGGGCAGGGAAGGAGAGAAGGAAGAGGGACCTGGGATTGACATGTAAAGGAAGCTTGTTCCTAATTTAAATAAAAAAGATTTATTTATTTGTTGTGTATAGTGTTCCACCTGCATGTATCCCTGCAGGCCAGAGGAGGGCACCAGATTTCATTCTGGATGGTTGTCAGCCACCATGTGGTTGCTGGGATTTGAACTCAGGACCTCGGGAAGAGCAGGCAGAGCTCTCAATCAATCCCTGAGCCATTTCTCCAGTCCCTCCTTATTTTCAAGCACACACACACACACACACACGCCCACACACACACACACACACGCGCACACACACACACACACACACACACACACACACACACACACGTCTCTCTATATATGTCTGTGTGTGGTCTGCACATGTGAGTATAGGTGTCCTTAGATGCCAGGGGCCTCAGCTTCTCCTGAGCCACCGACATGAGTGCTGGGAATTAAACTTGGGTCTTCTGCAAGGGCAGTGCATGCTAATTGTGGAGGCATCTGTTTCTGTAACAGATGGGGAAGGCATCTCCGTGTTGTACAGGCTGGTTTGAAACTATGCGAAAGAGATCCTCCTGCCTTGGCCTCTTGAGTGTTGGGACTACAGACATGTCCAGCTTATGTATCTTTTATGGTAAAGTATCTGTTTAGGTGATTTGCTGATTTTTCAAAATCAGCATGTTCATTTTCTTAAGGTTGAATTTTTGTTGTTGTTGTTGTTTTTTGTTTTTCTAAACAGGATTTTTCTATCCTGGAATTCTCCCTGTAGACCAGGTTGGCCTCAACATTACAAAGATCCACCTGCCTCTGCCTCTTGAGTCTGGGATTAAAGGTGTGTACTGCCATGCCCAGCCTTATTTTTGAATTATAAGAGAATTGTAAAGATTTTTTTTTTGTGTATGAGTGTTTGCCTGTGTGTGTTATGTACATCATGTGTGTACAGTGCCTGTTGAGGCCAGGAGAAGGCGTTGTTACCCTGGAACTGGAATTACTGCCATGTGGGTGCTGGAATTTGAACCAGGTTCTCTGGAAGAGCAGCCAGTGCTCTTAACCTCTGAGCCATTGCTTCAGTCTTGCAGTAGACTTTTATCAGATGTTTATAAATCCTTTCTTATAGTATATCATCTATCTTTTCATTCTCTGGCCAGTATCTTTTGCAGAACAATTTTCTTGTCATTAATGTTTATTAGGGTTTCTAGGTTTAATACTAAAACCTATACATTTGTATATGCAAAGGAACCCTGGGGGAGGGCTGGCTATACTGTCAACATTGCTGGTTTTTTTTCTCCCCAAGACAGAGTTTATCTGTATAGCCCTGGCTGTCCTGAAACTCACTGTGCAGATCAGGCTGGCCTTGAACTCACAGAGATCTGCCTGGTTCTGCCTCCTGAGTGCTGGGATTAAAAGTATGTGTTACCACTGCCTGGTTGACAAAACTGTTTTGAAGGTCTTTACCAGTGAGATGAATATCTGCAGTCATTTGACCCAAGTAGCGTCCCTGTAGGATGTGTGTAGGGTGTGAAGGGGGGGGGACTCTTTTCCTCCAATGAAAGCCTTATATGTTAGTGTTAGAATCCCAGTCTAATTAAGTTCTAGGCCAGGCAAGAGCTTTTGTGGTCCTGGCTGGCTGTGTAACTTGGTTTCTGGTCTGCTGAGGACAAGGCCACAGGATGATGATGTGGGATTAGAGACGGTGATCTAGAAACTGGATTCTCAGCCCAGCTTTGCCCAAAGCACAGTATGACAGGAGTCTTCCCTCTACCAGGGTCTGCTTCCTTGTCCACAAAACAGGAGTATTGGAGCCCAGTATGGTGCCACCTCAGGTCCCAGCAGAGTGGTACTTCTATGGGCTAGCTAAGAGGCTGCACAGGGAAAGCCATGAAGCAATGCCTGAAACCAGCAATCCTCCTGCCTCAGCCCCCAAGGGCTGGGAGTATAGGCATGTAGTACTTTGGGCAATATATTTTGTGAGCTTTCCCATTTTCTAGGACCAGCAAGGCATGTGTGCTGTGCTGTAGTCCTGCCCCTGATCTGTTGGTTCTGGGAGAGAGGGGTCCTGTGGGCCATTTCCACCTCCCCTTTGGGGACAGTAGTCTAATCCATCTTGGGCTGCCTTGGGTGTGTGGTGGGAGATGACCCAGGGGTCTGCTTATTGGAAAATCTGAGCCTCCCTGTACCTTGCTGTCCCTTGCAGTGCAGATCACCCTGCCTCCCTCCATGCAAATGACAGACTCTGAAGGCATCGTCTACAAAGCCAACCAGCTGCACATGCACTGGGGTGGGGCCTTCCTTGAGCTCAGCGGCTCTGAGCACACCATCAATGGGATCAGGCGCGTGATAGAGGTACGTGAAAACCCCACCAGTGTCACCTTCCTTCGGTGTTATTTATTTGCACATGCCTGTGAGTGTGCATGCTCATGTGTGCATGTTCATGTGTGCATGTGTGCCTGTGTGCATGCTCATGTGTGTATGTGTGCATGCTCATGTGTGCATGCTCATGTGTGCATG